ACATGCCAACTTTTGCATGGTATGAGTCTTTGTTGCATTTTCCTTAATATAAAATGAAAAATCCAACAAGGAGTCCCTGAGAGATGAAAGAAAATATTAGGTGGTTTAAATCCCCTGCTTTAACCCAAGACTTAATGCAACTCTGTCACATCAGTATTAAAAAATGCCACCCTGCAAAAAGAACTTTAAAATACTTACCAGTCTGTTGGGTCACTACAGGACACAGTAGTGATGTAGTGTTTCCATAGCATTCAGAAAGGGAATGGGAAACTAACATACCAAGAAGTGTTTCAGATGCCAGGATTCTTTGGCAGCCGTAGCTCAGCAAAAGAGCAAAGAAGGGATTAGCTACTTGCTGGACAGGTATAATTAATCTTCTGCAAGATGGTATTAGAAGAAAAAATTATGTAGTAACAGAGTTGCATTAAGTACCAATTTTGGGTGAATTGGCTCTTCAACAAATAATCTAACCTAAAAGTGTTTGTTGTAGGACAATACCATTAATATCAGTTCCTCTTTATACAATCATGCAGACGTCTATAGCAGAAATAAAGAAAGCAAGCCTGCCAGGCCAATCAAGGAACCAAAAGAGAAGTCATGGAAAATGTGTTTCCATTAACCCTCTGACCCTTCCTATAGGTGGGGGGCCTGGCCAATATTACTCTACTGTAAAAAGGCTTGGTTTGTCTAAATCAGCAGTTTATCTCTCTGGATCCTTATTTTATTTTTACACTTTTTTTCTGAACCATCATTCATGCATTTTGCATAATATGCTTAGTTTAAATTACTAAGGTTTGTGTCTTTAAAGTATCATAATCTTAACCAAGAATATATATAGGCAAAAGATGTATTTCCTACATTTGCAGTGTATTTCAAAAGAAATGTCACTGGTTTTGTATTAAAGCAGCTTTTCCTGCCACAAATGTTCAATTTTTTCCAAGGTCAGTCACACAAAGCTTTGCACACACTTCATCTCTTTTCATTTCTTGATCTACAGTGATTAGAATCACATGCCATCAATAGTGCAGATTCCAAGAATACATCTTTATTAACAGAACACACCTCAGTTACCCACAAATATGGCATGCAATATATAAGATAGCAAGGGGTAATGGTCACAGGGCATTTTTGCAGCACATATGATTTAAATGAAATGTCAGTAAAGGTTTGAAATGCCCAAAACATTCAAGCAAGTCTTAGAAAGGGAAACAACATTTATAATGACTTGCATAAGCAATCTAGCTAATTTTTATAAGCATTTACTCTTATATGTTGGAAGCTAAATGGCTTACCTTATTTGTGAGGGGTGCAGATGTTATAAATAAAATGCAGTGAAGCATAAAAACTGCCTATATACACCACCTTTTGACTGCCTTGAACCAACAAGGCTTCTTTTTTTTCTTTAGATGAGGAGAAAGCATTTGACAGGGTCGCATGGGATTATATAGAGCAAGTATTACAGACGATGGGGCTTGGTTCACGTTTGCTGACCTTTATAATGTCTCTCTACACCTCTCCTTCAGCAAGAGTTAGAGTAAATGCCACACTGTCAGACGCTTTCCCCATCCGTAATGGTACCAAACAGGGGATGCCCACTCTCCCCTATCCTTTTTGTCCTGGAACCTTTTCTTCACTGTCTCAGACACAACCATGATATCAAAAGTCTTAGCTCTACAGGTAAGGAGTATAAATTAGGAGTATTTGCCGATGACATTCTGCTTTTTTTTATCAGCCCCCCACACTACTCTTCCAGTCCTCCTAGCAGAGTTTTGTCACTTTCAATCCTTGTCCAACCTCAAAATCAACTTTTCGAAGTCTTATGCCCCCAATGTGACCCTCTCTTCTACAGATGTAATCCGCTGTCGGTGAAACGTTACCTTTTTATGGAAACAGGACGCCATCACTTATTTAGGCATTCAGCTCCCTAAGAACCTGCAAGACCTCTACAGTAAGGATTATCTACCCATCCTGTGAGAGTTAACAAATGATTTCAAATGATGGAACAAACCTATCTTTTCCTGGTTCGACAGAGCCGCTATCCCCAAAATGAATGCTCTCCCGCGACTCCTCTACCTTTTACAAACTATACCCATCCACCTACCACAATTTCTTACTCTCTTACAGGAGCCTCTGCTCCAATTTCCTGTGGAAAAATCACAGACCACAAATTAGTTACACTAGACTGGCGCTTCCCAGACAGGGGGAATAGGCCTACCCGACATCCAGAATTATCTCCATGCATGCCATCTCTCCAGGATAGTAGATTGGAACACTCATGACACTGTTAAAGACTGGGTGTCTCTCGAAGCTTCTTTCTTACCAACACCTCTTGCTTCTACGCCTTGGTTGCACGTTCACCATACCCCTCAAAAAGCAAAGACCCACCCTTTAATTTACCCAACCCTTCGCCTCTCCAAGTCAATTTCATCAGTCTCAGGGCCTCTTACCCCTCTTTGTCAAAACCCTGATTTTCCACCAGGCTTACACCCGCGATTCCTCAAGGACCACTGGCGTTTCAAAAAGATGATAGCCCACCAATTCTTTAACAGAAACACAATGCTTTCCAGGGAACAGCTAGCCTCCAACCTAGGAACAAACTCTATACCACCATGGCTATACCTGCTTGTACAACATTACCTACACTCACTTTATAAAAACCGACAGGTGTCTAGACTTTTGACCCCATTTGAGAAATTGTGCTCTAAACAATCACCTCAAAGTCATCTAATCTCCACCATCCACTCTCAGTTGAGCTCCAATCACCCTTCTAACAATGGCACAGCTTGCGTGGCATGGGAAAGAGACTTCTCGATTTCTTTCACTCAAGATGACTGGGAACGCATTCACTTGAACACATTCAAAGGCTTGGTAAATGTATCCACTCAAGAAAATGGTTACAAAATTCAATCCCGCTGGAATCGCACCCCTGCTCTTCTCCATAAATTTTAACCCAGATACCCCTGACACTTGTTGGAGATGTGAGAAGGAGGAGGGAACCCTTTACATATCTAGTGGACATGTCCTAGAATTAAACACTACTTGTCTGAAATACACCGAATTATTCAACGCGTAACTACCTACACTTTAGATTTTATGCCCGCTCAGTTACTACTGCACCATTCCTCTCTCTCCCAGTCGACCTATTTTAAGTCTCTAGCCATGCAAATGGTTAACGCAGCTAAACAATGTCTTCTAGTTCACTGGTTCCCACAACCTCCAACTATAAGAGAATGGCTCATCCGCATATGTAAAATATGGAAATGAAAGAACTAATTTTTATTGCTCGAGACTCTCCTGCCAAATTTGCTTCTAAATGGGCTTGTTGGACACATTTCCAGACAACCGAAGAGTTCACTCTATTGATTGACAAACCTTCGCCCCAAAAAAGACATTTCAGCCCACCTATAAGAACACCCGTATATACCTTGTTCTCTCCAGGCTACTCTTCTCTGAGGAAAGGATTGAACGTTGGGATCCTATCTGGTGCGCTCCTTCCCCTTCACCTCACGGCCTTCTATGGTGTGGGGGGAGGGGGGGGGTGATGCTTCAGCGTCCTGCGGAGTGGGTGAGAGACACATGCTACCCCCCTCTGTCATCCTTCCTCGATAAATTAAGTTACGTTTCGTAACACTCATCTTCCCCCACCTTCCCTACTCTTCCCTCCTTCCCTACCCCTCCCTCCTCTCTCTCTCTCTCTCTCCCCCCCATTTTTTTTTTCTTCTTCTTTCTCTCTCTCTTTTCCCTTTCTTCTGCTGGGATGGTGCTTCCGGCATGCTAAACTTCACATTTTCATACCTGACCTAGAATCACATTATCAATCAACGTACCTCAGTGTAATTTCTCCACATCCACCATTCTCAAATGTCAATGATTCCATGTTCTGGTCTATCCTGAATCTACGCACGATATTGACAATAGGTTCTTATGACCATAGTTACTCAAAACCTGTATATTTTTTGTCCTTCTATATTAACATCCTACTCTTAGTTCTCTAAGTTGTTGTTTGGGGTCTGCCCCCTCATTTTTCTGTGTTCAACTTCCATGCCAAGTTTTTTTTTTTTCCTTTCTTTTTGTCTGACTTACTCTCGTTATAAGACTAGATGCTTCTAACAAACTGTTGTATTGATACAACCCATGCTTTTGTCTATGTTTATGTTTTTTGATGCTCAATAAATCTTTATTGGGAAAAAAAAAAAAAAAAAAAAAAAAGCTGCCCAACCATAGTTGCCAACATTTGAAAAAAGTTTTAGGGACAATTTCTTTTCTGTGTGGCAGGAAAACCTCTGTAGGTGGGGCATTAATTAGGGGTGGGCATTCATATATTATGGGTGTGGTTGTACAAGAAGCAACAAAAGTAATAATGTACTGCACAAAGCATGTTATGGCAAAAAGTGGGGGTGATTTAAAATACGCTAAATATCAGGCGTAGTTTAAAGGGGGTGTGGTTAAATAGATTCTCTGATTACTTAAATAGTGCAGAATGTGGTAATATTAAAAAGAATGAATGATGCAGAGAAAGGTAGGATGGAGGAGACTGTGTGTGTGCGCACAGGATGGGAGGGGCTGGATGAAGATGACTGTGTGTGCAAGATGCAGATGACAGGAAGGAGGGCTATGTGTGTGTATGTTTGTGTGTGTGTGTGTGTGTGTGTAGGATGGAGATAACTGACAGCCATCCATCCCCGCCACACAGAGACACCAAATGGCCGCTGCTGATCGCTCCCCCCCCCCCCCGAATAAAAAAAAAAAAAACAGAGAGAGAGCCCATCCATCATGATCTTCCCCAAGAGATGTAGATGCAGACAGCCAAAATTGCAGCACTGAACATACCTCTGCTTAGGTCCACTCCAGCTTCACATGTGTTGCAGTTCAAGGCACAAGGTAGGCTGGCATATTCATACCTCCAAGACTGGCCATGCCCCCTATCCGAGTCCCACAGGTGTGTTTAACCCATAGGTGTGTGCTGCCTATTGCATTAGGGTGTGCACCCTAAAGATCAAACACACACTATATTGCCAAATGTATTGGGACACCCCTCCAGATCATTGGATTTAGGTGTTCCAATCTCCTCCATGGCCACGGGTGTATAAAATCAAACACCTAGGCATGCAGACTGCTTCTACAAACATTTATGAAAGAATGGGTCGCTACATCTGTGAAATTTTCTTGCTACTAAATATTCCACAGTCAACTGTCAGTGATATTATAACAAAGTGGGAGCAACTGGAAACAGCAACTCAGCCACAAAGTGGTAAGCCACATAAAATGACAGAGCAGGGTCAGTGCATGCTGAAGCGTGCATAAGTCAACTTTCTGCAGAGTCAATAGCTTAAGACCTCCAAACTTTATGTGGCCTTCAGATAAGCAAAACAACAGTGCATAGAGAGCTTCATGGAATGGGTTTCCATGGCTGAGCAGCTGCATCCAAGCCTTATATCACCAAGTGCAATGCAAAATGTTGGACGCTTAAAGCACGCCGCCACTGGACTCTAGAGCAGTGGAGACGTGTTCTCTGGAGTGACGAATCACACTTCTCTGTCTGGCAATCCAATGCACGTGTCTGGGTTTGGTGGTTGCTAAGAGAATGGTACTTGCCTGACTGCATTGTGCCCAGCATAAAGTTTGGTGCAGGGGAGATTATGGTATGGAGTTGTTTTTTTTAGGGGTTGGGCTTGGCCTCTTAGTGTGAAGGGAACTCTTAAAGACGTCAGTATACCAAGATATTTTGGACAATTTTATGCTCCCAACTTTGTGGGAACAGTTTGGGGATGACCCTTTCCTGTTCTAACATGACTGCACAAGTGCAAAAAACAAGGTCTGTAAAGACATGGATGAGCGAATTTGGGGTGGAGGAACTTGACTAGCCTGCACAGAGTCCTAACCTCAAACTGATAAAACACCTTTTGGCTGAATTAGAGCGGAGACTGCAAGCCAGGCCTTCTTGTCCCACATCAGTGCCTGACCTCACAAATGTGCTTCTAGAAGAACGGTCAAACATTCCCATAGACACACTCCTAAACCTTGTGAACAGCCTTCCCAGCAGAGTTGAAGCTGTTATAGCTGCAAAGGGTGGGACAACTCAATATTGAACCTCACGGGCTAAGACTGGGATGCCATTAAAGTTTATGTGCGTGTGGAATACTTGGCTAGCCACACCTGGCCTATCCCCCATTGACCTGGTATTGGAAAGGGTTTTATAACTACTCCTCTAATGATATTGTGACGATCACGGCGTCAGACCCCTGACCTTCTCACCAAACTCGTGACCGAAGGACTAGCCAATCTGAAACCGCGATGTCACGTGCGTAACCATGCCACGCCCAGCTGCACCCTGCACAACGATTTTCCAGCTCACTGGACCTCCAATCGATATACCAGCAGCCTGAATGCGATTGTTACTGGGTCAGGTTAATTACGCAATTAACCCTTCACATTGCCACCACCTTCTTTTTGTACAGAGAAAGAGGAAACTCGGCAATACCAGCAATAACACTATAATGGTTGAGATAATCGTCTGTATAGCACTGTCACTGCAGACAGGTTATACAGAGGGTTAAACAAACACGGTAGCGCTCTTTTAGAGGCAGGAATTCGTAAATTGCATTAAGGAGCTTTAGAAACAGTTCAACACTTTCAGAAAGAAAGATTTATTACTAAAAGGTCAAAATGGTGCAATAAAAATATTTACAGAAAAAAGATGTAACCAATATATATATAAAATATACAGAGAACAAACAGCACAGCAAAGAGGTAACAGAAAGAAGGTTAAAGGGTTAAAGTACATGCCAATCAGCCTTGGGTTAAGCAGATCAAGTTTCAGAGCGAAAGGGCACGTCTCCCAAGTTGGTTCTGATGTTAAAAGGGAGAATTCTTCAACTTTTTTCTCTTAAGCCTGACAGCCCATTTTGTAGTCCCCCAGCAGGGGGTGTCTCTCTGACGTCAAGGACCAATGCCTCGTTTAGGGAGGGATCGTCTGGGCGGATACCTAAAACTAGAGCCAAAATCTCTCATAGTTCATATTTGGCTCATAACTTTTCCTATGCACAAGTGACATTCCACCCGCGGGTAGATTAATATGCAGACACATCTGAGGAACTGTTACATATGAACTATGAAGTACATATTTGAAGGGTTCAAGAGATGTAATTTTCTGCTGTCCTAGGTATTCCAGTCAGGGAGTGTGACCTATCAAACTGTTTGTCTTCTCGTGGGCAATCTGAAAGATATACCAGGTTTTTATGTAAGTCTCTCATATTCCAAGATACGAGACATAGGGGAAAAAATGGATTTTAAAAGTTATCTAGTCTCTACTCCTCTGGAATGTGTTTGAACTCAGGGGAAGGCCTGGGTTATCTTTTTACAATGTGCTAGATTGCACAGGTTCTTTGGACAGCAAGGCCCCAGCTCTCTTGGGGGTTTTATAGCTCGGGGCTCCCTGCTGTGCTCTGGCCTCCTGTGACACTGCCAACACACAGGCCATATGTCACTGTGGCTGAACAGAGAAGAAGAATGAGAATGAGGGGGAGATGTTTGTACAAGATGGAGGATCCTCTGCCAAGATGGAAATTGGAGCCAAAATGGTTGAACCAAGTCCATCTCTGTGGGCATGATTGCTACAGATATATATTTATTTTTTTTATGACTGATGCACTCAGCTCATAAATATCTGAACTGACACACTGTTTTTTCCATTTTAATGTGTTAATGGGCTAAAATATACCAGTTTTTTTATCTCTAGTCTACCCCTATGTGTCTGTGGCTGTACTTACTGTATTTTTTTGTTCTATGTGTTGTTTATGATTTCTGGATGACCTCGTTTCATTTAAAAAAATCCATTGCCGATTAAAAAAAAAAAAAAAAAAAAAGTTCATGTGCATGCAAAGGCAGGCATCCCAATACTCTTGCCAATATAATGTGTGTGTGTGTGTGTGTGTGTGTGTATATATATATATATATATATAACACACACACACACAATGACAAACACATACACAAATACAGTATACAGGGGCACATATAAACACATACATACAACATCACACACACACAAACACTATATCTACACACATATACAATATATACACACATACAGTATATACACAGGCACACATATATAGTCATACACATATACAGTATACATTTACACATGTATATACATACACACACAAATACAGTATCTACACAGGCACACACATACACAAGTACAGTATATACACATACAGTACACACACACACCAGCACTTTTCATCTACAAACCAGTCTGATCACATTGCTGCTGCCTCCTATCTCCTGGCATGCTGGGACTTGTAGTGCTACAGCAGGTCACAGACACATGAGGTGGTCATACAGAAAAGGAAGCTGTCCATGTGTGTTAGTGAGCAGGTAATGAATAGGGAGAGAGAATGGGAAATCTCAGACTGTAATGTCCTTCCTGTGCAGTTGCCTTCAGACAAAAAAAAAAATCAATTTAACATCTTCTAAAATACAGGGACCCTGCTAGAGGAAGTACAGCCCCCCACCCCATCCCCATTAAGATAAGCCAGGGTCTTCTCCTGGTAAGCTGAAGTACGTCTCACACTGCAGACTGGGGACAGAAGACGGCCGGGGAAACTGGCTGGGGTGAACACACAGCTGGATCATTGGACAGGTGAGTGACTGTTTTTTAAAAGTCAGCAGCTACAGTTTTTGTAGCTGTTGACTTATTTTTTTCAGAGGAGACTGGAGCTCTGCTATATGAGGTTTTGCTGAGGTTACGAAGGTTACACTGACAGATTTTTCCAGGTGCTGGAAAAGGAACAATATATTTGTGAGTTGATATACAGTATTTTAACCACTTTCTGTCCATCCGCCCGCTTGCAATGAACTGCGGCGACAGCTACGTACCCATATATCGCTGGTGTTGTACCAAAATAGGGGGGGTGCTGCACGCTATAGACCGCTATTACTAGTATAGTGTTTGTACGGATCAATATATTTATCACGAACAGAACTATACTAGTTCTTCCTTAGTATAGTGTTTCCAAAAATGCACTGTTAGCAGGATCAGCCCCATTCGCTATCAGCACTTAGCCCCCCCCGCTGTTTTTCACGAAAGATTTGTATCAGCTGATTGTGGGCCAAAGCAATTTATATACACAATACATCGCTGCCCACCCAAAGTCAGTTCTTGCAAGATAATTTGCATAAAAATCTAAATGTAAAACTTTTTTGGGTCTAACCCTCAACATGCGCATTAAAAAAAAGAATGCATTGGGGTCACATTGGTCCACAGACCTGATTCATCATATGCCCAAGTTCTCTGCTGTTTTATATATGCCCAACAAGGACCAGCAACTTACTGGTACACTGCTGGACTTTGAGTGATTATACCGGGATGACGCCTGCAGCTACATGCATCATCCTGGTATAGTTTTTTCAGCTGGTGGTCGACTTTCATGTAAAAGTGATCCAGTGGCTAATTAGCCGCTACAAGCAGTGTGAAGGGACATTCCCCCCCACGCTGCCTTCCACGGTTTTCTCGGGCTCTTCTGTCCCACCGGGGAACCCAAGAATGCAGCCAGCGGTTCCGCTGGCTGACCTAAGAGCTGATCGGAGACCAGAATGCCTCCAGTCATCTCTATGGTCCAAGAGAATGGAAGCTACGAGCATTTCATAATTTCCATTTCGCCAGATATAAATAGCGCCGTTTTAAAATTGGGAAAGCATCTGATCACACCGATCTTGGCGTAGTCAGATGCTTTAAGGGCAGAGGAAAGATCTAGAGGCTAATACACCCCACATTTCTCAGAAAAGTGTACCTGTAACTGCTTATTGCTATCACAGGGGATATTTACATTCCCTGTGATAATAAAAGTAATCCAAAAAAAAATGAAAGGGACAGTGTAAAAATAAAAAAAAAAGTAAATAAGAAAATTAGCCCCCACCATCGTGCTTTGCGCAAAGGCAAACGCAAGTGTCAGTATGTAAACAGACATTCCACCATGCATGTGCAGTATCACCGCAAATGTCAAAGGTGGCAGTAATTCTAGCACTAGACCTCCAGTGTAAATCTAAAGTGGTGACCTGTAAAGGCTTTTAAAGCGTTGCTTATGGATATTAAA